AAAAGCGCCCCCCCCCCCCTGCAGGTAATTGTGACAGTTAGTTGAGCTGGACCAGGAGGTGTATTTGCAGACAGCTGGACCCTAAAGAATTAACAGAATTATAAATATGATAAATAATGGTGTGTAACTATAATATGTTCTATAATGAGAGCATGTTATTTTGCATGTTAACACCAATATAATAAAGAAGTATTCACATTGTTTACCTAAGTAATACATTAATATTACACATGCATTGATGGAGAATCAGGATTTTACTGGTGTAGTTGGCTGACGTAAAGCTCTTTTGACATATTTTGTTAGTGAGAAATAGTGAGAAATGCTCTAAATTATTATTAAAGCAGTTGCTAATTTACTGTAGGTGCACGACAGCACAGCCAGACTGATCCTGTCTGTACCTTCGCTCACACACACACACACACACACACACACACACACACACACACACACACACACACACTCTCTTAAGAGCGACAGGGGTGAGCCAGGAAGGTTTGTCTGTGTGTTTCTGGGGTCAAATTGAGATCAGTGTGAATCCTTTTCTAAGTCAGCGGTTAGTGAATGAACAGACAATGTGGAAAATGATTTACATAGTGTATTTTATAGCCAACATTTAAATGATCGTTTTATCGTTGGGGATTAAGCTATAAACGGGACACATACTTTGATCTGCTCAGAGAGATGGTGTTCTGAAGATGTTCGTTTTTAGGATATCAAAGTCATCCCACACTGTTGATTTTAATTTCTTTTCTGGGGGGACAATGATTGGAAATACAGCGGGTAAACTAAGTATTGAGCATATCACCATTTTTCTCAGTAAATATATTTCTAAAGGTGCTGTTGACATGAAATGTTCACAAGATGTTGGTTAAAAACCCAAATAATCCATACATAAAAAGAAAACAAAACTAATAATTTCAGAAACTAAGTTACGTGTAATAAAATGGAATGACACGGGGAAAAAGTATTGAACACTTGAAGAAATGGAGGTGCAAAAAAGGCATGCAAAGCCAAGACACCAGCTGAAATCTATCAGTATTTAGGAAGCAGTCCTGCCCCTTGTCAGTGGAAATTAATATCAGCTGGTTCAGTCCCAACTGATGGCTTATAAAAAGGTGTGTCATTACCAAGGTGTCACACACGAAGCATCACACAACATTTAGACAAGCCTGTCAAATACTGGGAGAATATAGTCTGGTCAGATGAGACCAAAATTGAACTCTTTGGATGCCATAATGCACACCATGTTTGGAGATCAAGTGGCACTGCACATCACTCCAAAAACACCATACCAGTAGTGAAGTTTTGAGGTGGGAGCCATGGTGTGTGGCTGGTTTTCAGCATACAGCACTGGCAAACTTCATATAATTGAAGGGATGAATGGAAACATGTTACGAGACATTCTTGATAAAAATCTGTTGCCATCTACCAGGATGATGAAGATGAAACGAGGGTGGACATTTCAGCAAGACAATGATCCTAAACACACAGCTAAGGAAACTCTCAATTGGTTTCAGAGAAAGAAAATAAAGCAGCTAGAAAGGCCCAGCCAATCACCTGACTTGAATCCAATAGAAAATCTTTGGAAAGAACTAAAGATCAGAGTTCACCGAAGAGGCCCACAGAACCTTCAGGATTTGAAGAATGCTTTACTGGCATTTTAGGACTCCAACACATTTTTCTGACAGATGCTTGCATTGATCATCAGCAACCCTGTAATGAAAAGGGGCATATCTGTTTCCTGCCTTCCCATATACAGTACAATATGGGAAGATGTTTGTGAATCTAAAATAAGTCTTGTAGATATAACTGCTCTAAGTCAATAAATAAATAAATAAATGAATCAATCAGATCTTCCTCACGTACTACACAATCAGACAAGTTCCATTTCAAGTCAACTTAAGTAGGTTTATTGGTTATGTAGCATGCTGACATGTGGCACATGATAGACTTCAAACTTGCTTTTTTCCTTAAAACTGTTAGAC